GAATTAACTTATCCCATGGAGGTATTTAATTGCAACTTACTTAAAATAAGCATATCTTTAATGTTTGTGTTCAAAGATTTATATAACCACATGGGCTTATAAATTCTTCTGAACTAAAAAGACTAGGCAAGAATACATTTATTTATCTATAAATTTAAAAAATAGTATTGTTCTTCAATATAATAAATTATTGCATATTAATATTCCAAGTAATAAGTCATGCTAATAGAACAGCTCAGAGAAATCACTACAGGTAATATTTTAGCATTTTATTCCGTACTTTGAAGCACATTTTTCCAAATTGACTCAGTATGACAATCTATTATCCCCTCTTTTTTAAAAGAAAGAAATCAGAATTATAAATAGATTTGCTTAATGGCACCATATATAAACATATAGGTTTTTAAATAATACCTTGATGTTCAAAATTGAAAATACCTATACACCTGAACAGTTTACCTGGGATATGTGATGTATCAATGTGCAGGAATGACTCAACAGATAATATGAGACTCTTCAATGATATTCCTGAAGTATAGCATAATTGATTTCTATTGCTATTGGTAATTCTTCATTCTCATAAATAAATCATTTACTCTCTTGTATCCAAACTAAACTAATTGATGTAGTCTAATTAAAAGACAAATGTATTGGACAAGTGGGCTGAGAAGTAATAAAGACTTGCCATATCCATTTGTAAATCCACTTGAAAAAGTTTTGTGTCTCCCAGTGGAAATATTTTCTGTGGAAATATGCCTTATGTTTATGCTTTAATCAAAAGCCTTCCTTCTTATTACAATATCCTATAAGTTCCATTCAGGTCTACTGTATTAAAGTAACAGAGTTGTGTTCAACTTTGTTAAAGTAAAAGATATCACATTTAAGAAAAGAACCTCTTCCTTCCTTTGATTAAACATGACAAGTAGAGAATAGAATATTTTGAATTCATAACAGGAAGGTGGCTTAAAATGTACAAAATTCATACAGAAGAGTTGAAGTAGAAACAGATTGAAATAATTAGCTTAAAAATGACATGTGTTTTTAAATATGTTCAGACACTGGGAGGATGTAGATGAGGATGTTCCTTGTATTATTTCCGAAGAATATTAGACATTTTGGACATGTTAACATAACTGTATTTATTAATAAGGGAAGAATAAAACAATTGATTCACCTTAAACTCACTATAAAACTATATTTTAAAAAGTCATCTGAAATTTATGTATTGATGCTGAGCTGATTTATATTCCCCTTGATTTTCCACATCTAGAAATACCAGGTCCTGAAATGTGATCAATGTGGTTCTAGCATCTCCTGTTCTTTGTTATGTCACCCATGAAACATTAACTCGGACCTTCCACATAATGCAAAATGCAATTTGAAGACAGGAGAAAAAGTTAATTTCTTCATATACTGTTTAACAAATTTTGTTACATATAAAATACTAATAATATATATTAAATGCAGTTGCAATCAAAATCACTTTTTAATAAATTAATGACTATATTAGCTTGTGCTTGTAGCAAACTACAAATGTACTCTAGACAAACATGTATTTATTTGAATCCAAAGTTTAAGCAGGGAAAATGCCAAGTGTTGCTTTATTGAGTAGATGTATCATTAAATACTTTATCAAGAAGGTCCAAATAACTCAAGTGAATCCTTCAGAGATTTATCAGTGAATAATATTATTAGGAGAAAGGAACACTTTGACATTTAATATATTGCTTCACTAACCTTAAAAGACAAAGTTAAAATGACAAGAATGTTGAAATTATTAAATGAAATTTCTTGGTAAGTCCCTTAAGGTAAACAGAGAAGATGGTCACAAATGATAAAGTTGGTAGATCATAGAATGAATTTCTCTTTTGTATTATAAACCAGGTGAAGAGAGTTTTGTTTTTCCTGATTCTTTTCTCTAAAAGAGACATTGTGGCATTTAGGAGATAAAAGTGTATCATTTGACCTTTAAACTGTTTCATTAATGTAACCACAAGCATCAGAGTCATTGGGTGACATGTTTGCACTTTCAGGCCTTTAGCACTTAAAGTTATTTGATAACTGCTACGCAACTATTTGCTTTTTATAAGAGACACCTTGAGGAATGTGCTAGATTAAAAAAATAGAGTATATAGTGTAAAGTTTAATAAACAATATAATGTAATCAGTATTCACACCAGATTTAGCTATTTTAATGGGGGGGGGGAGTGTGGTTGAGGGTAATTTTTGTTTAATTTGTTTTGTTTTCTAATGAATTACAGAATACCACAATATATAATTCTAAATATCCAAATCAAAAACATAAAATATAACTCTAACATTACATTTGATGAAAAGTATGTCACCTGACTTACACTTAATTAGTTTTTAAGTTCTGCCTGTATTGGTCTATGTATACAGAGTCAATACCAGTTGCAGGAAAGGAGTTAGAAATAACCGAGAATTTCTTGTAAATATATATATTTATATATATATATATTTAGTGTATATATATATATATATATATATATATATATACTAAAACAGTTAAAAACCCATGGACAATATAAAAAGGTTTAAAAAAAATGAGATACTCTCTATGGAATTCTAGAATTACTATCAGCAAATTACTTTGGGTTAAAAGTAGTGTGCATCAGATTTCTCTCGCATATGACAAAAAAGATTTTTTATTAAAAAACACTGTAAATAGTTAGAAAGATCATTTAGAGAGAGATTCTATTCTTTTTAAAAATTTTGAACATCAAAAGCTTCCTAAAGTAATATATTACAAAACTCAGGATATAGCCAAAAAAAAAAAAATGGATGAGGTACAGTGCATACAAGTATACAAGGACTGCACCAAACCAACACTGGAAAGACACTGTCCCCACTAGTTAGAGAAGCATTAGTATTGGAAGCAATAAGTAAACTAACCATAAGTTTTCTAGAAGCAAAATGTGAATTCAGGTATCTCAATTAGCCATTGTATTTATTAGATTGTCCATTAGGAAAAAAAAATGTCAAGATATATTATCAAAAGACAAGCAGTCTACCAAATCCTTTAGGCTAAAAATATTAATGCCCATTCCAAATACACAATATGCTGCTACAAACACACATAATAGACTGTACCACCCATGGTATTTGTTTATAGCCCCTGAAAATAGTGTTTCATTCTACCACTATTGTTCAAACTTTTAAAACGAACTTAATATAAAGAACACAAATATGGTCTTAATTTATATCCTCTATGTGAGAAAGATTTCATTGCTTTTATCATCAGTGAAAAAGTATTTTACTAAGTTATAAAAATTATTCATTATTTTTGTATATACCCAATGGCATTTGTGGTTACAGCAAAGATAACAAAGTATATTATAAAAGCATGTTATTAGTGTATATTAGATGCTAGAAGTATATGCCACACAAATTTGGACTCATAACCATGTTTCACAAGGTATAAGTCATATACCACACCCAGATTTTGGATCATTAAATTTAAAATATGTTACGTGATCTAAACAAACATATCTCACTCTTCCACCTTAGACATGGCATGTATACTGATTTTGTTCAATCCACACTTATAAGCCAACTACCACCCAGTGGAGAGAAAGAAGATCTTCCAGGGAGATCTGATGTGTACATCAGGTGGAAGTGTCAGGGGGAGAAGGGAGGGCAATGGAAAATGAAGGAATACGAGCATTTAGCCTTGTTTAGATCTAAGTACTGCTGATCATCAATTTATATTTTCACAGGAGAGAAAATGTTTCCAGAAGCTCACTCTGCAGTGTTGCTTAGGGGTAACATCAGGCTATGGATATTCATTAATAACAAAACATTTCAATGCTCAAGCTTAGGTGAAAGAGGGGAAGAAAGGACAGTGAGAAAAAGAAGTAACACTGAAGCTGGAAGGAGGGAGAGAGGTGGGAAGAAAAAGGAAAAAGAGAAAACTGGGGAGGGGGCGCAGAGAGAGAGACCTCCGTCCTATACATATGCGTGAGTGACAGCATGTGGAACAGGGAAGAAGTGTGTGCCTTTAAAGCAGTAAAAGAGAATCTGAATGTGAAAGTGGTTGTTAGAGCATGGAAGAGCCAACGTGTGTGAGGAGGTGAAATAGAGAGTATGTGAAGGAGTCTGTTTAAGAAAAAGACATTTGTGACGGTGGAAAAATGGTACAGGAGGGTGTTGGAGGGAACATGCATGTGTATGTGACAGGGATAGGGAGAGAGATGGGAAATGTGATGGCAAAAAAAGGGATGACAAGATCACAGAATAGGGACTTTAATGAACAAAAGTGAGCAACGGGGTAGGGTGAAGAGTGGAGGAAACGGGTTTAAATAAGAGGATCAAAAATTAGAGTGGGGCTGATTTTTTAAAAAGCGAAAATTGAGGGTTAAAGAGAAATGAGAAGAAAGAATAGACAGAAAATACAAAAGGAGGGGAACGAGGCAATAGATGGAAAAGAAAGTAAGAAGAGGGTGGGAAAAGGAGAAAAAGAAAGAGAAGGGAGAAAACGGAAAAAGCGATAAGAGGAAAGAAAGAAAGGTAAAGAGGGAGAAATTGAGCCTAAGTGTCCAACTGAGAGGGAAAATAAATGGGAGCAGGGAGCGAGCAGTTTGAAAAAGTCACTTAGACTAGAGTAAAACAGAAACAAACCTGATAAACTTGTCAGACTCTCCAAGAGTACCCAATGACAGTAAAACAGAGACCTTGTGAATTGAGTTTCAAAGTGCCACCTGTCCTTTCTAAACCGCACACTTCACTCATCCCGGGGCTACTTGGCGTTCGGACAAAGTGCTTTAGCATCACGGATCCAGCTTGCTACCTGCCCCGGCGTAAAGGGACCAGGGCTGGGGCAGAATCAGCACCTGGATGTCTTGAGACGTGGTCTTTTGACAGTGATCGCCACCAGCATCATTACGCGGTTTAAAGAGAAGACCAAAAAAAAAAAAAAAAAGTGGAAAGACAGACGGAAAGATAGACTGAGAGAAGTACGAAAGGCACGCCGTTCTTCCTACCTAAGCACCGCCGTGTCCCCTTTTCTGACCATCATGTTGTCCACGGCCGCCCAGGGGAAGTCCACACTCTGTCCAGCCGGGAGGCAGGAGGGCAGCAGGCAGCAAAGGCTGAGCAGCACCGCCGCCAGCCACTGGTTCGAGCAACAAGCACCCTGCACCAACAGCATCATGTCCATCCCTGCTAGGGCTGCTCACTCTCCAGAAGCTTTCAGCTCGCACTCCCCCACCCCCTGGTGCTGGCGAGTCTTCCCGGGAACCAGGCGGCGCGCCACAGGATTTTTGTTTTCCTTTTTTTGATGGGTGGGTGGGTTTCTTTCCTTTCTTTCTTTTCCCCCCTCTAGTTGTTGTATGTTGTTTCTCTCTCTTTTTTGGCCTCCCCTCCTCCTCCTCCTCTTTGCTGTCCCTCCCTCCCTCCCCTCCCACCCCCTGGCACCACACTACACCTCCTCTCGGTTGCTTCTGGCCAAGTCCGGAGTGTGTCTAATTCTCGGGCGGCTCGCACACCATCTAGCGAGGAGGCGAGCGCGCCGGCAAGTGAGGGAGGAGGCGCGGTGGCGGAGGCTGGGCGAGCGGCAGCGGCGGCGGCTGCAATCGCAGCAACAGCAGCAGCAGCAGCAGCAGCAGCAGCAGAAGCAGCGCGGGGCGCAGCGGCAGCCCGGGGCTCGCGCGCGTTGCCAAGCGGCCGTTTCCTTAGCAACCCCGCCCGGGGACTGGGGATGCAGCAGGGAGAGGGGGGAAATGAAGAGGGAAATAAAAGAAAAGAAAGAAAACGAAAAAAAATATATCAAGAGGAGGTATACCACAATTATGCAAACTGCGGGGAAAAGAGAGCTGCATCGTAAACAGAACGCTTCCCTTCCTGTCATATGCACTGGAGTGATGCTTTGCTAGAAAAGTCTCCGAGTAGGGCTGAGGTAGAAAGCAGAGGGGTGCTTTGCTTTCCCTCTCTCTTGCGTTTTACCTCTTGAGGCACCGTAACTTTAAAGTCCTCCAAGTTGTGGTCGGCGCCATCATGATGCCGGGGACTGTGAGGTTTTGTTGTTTATTTTTTATCTATTTACATTCTCTCCTGGGTGGCCGTGCTACAGTTAACCAGCGGTCAACTATTTAACTCTTTACCTTTTTTTGGAAATAGGTAGGGGCAGTGGCTGAGGCTGCTTTTTGAGAGGACAGAAGTGGAGGTGCATGCAAGGTCTTGCAGTAGAGTAGCTGGGATGTCTATAGCATCAGTCAGTATGATTTAGAGGGCGCCTCCCTCCCCCGTGCGTGTTGACACGAAATTCTTTGTGGGAGGGAGTGTATGTGTGTGAGGCATGGTCAAAGTGCAATGTGTGTGAACATATGTGAGTATATAGTATGCGCGCGCACGTGTGTGCGCGCGCGAATCCTGCGCGCCCGCCCTGTGCGCGCGCGCGCGCGCGCTGCACGCAGGCGCACTGGGAGGGACGGGGCGGGTAGTGCCGGGATTCGGAGTGGGAAAGAGGCTACAATCAAGTGTTTTAATTGTGTAGAGCCAGGCCGTCCTGTTATGTAAGAGGCACTTTAACCCATTTGAGCCTATCAGGCGGAATGATCAGCGCATCCGTATCTAGGCAAGGCAGGGATATCGGGTTTAACGAGTCACAGGGTTATATTTTTTAACTGTCTCCAGACCAGGTTGGATAGGCTTCCTACTCGGTGGTGCAGAACGGCTACCCTGCTTCCGACGCCGCAGTACCTTGGACGCTAGCGCCGCGGCTGCGAGCCGCTCTCCCTGCCCACGGCAGAGTTGGGTGCTGGGCATAGGGCCGCCCCCTTCATCTCCTACTTCTTGAACTCATTTCCGGATTTAAGAACATTTAGATATTCGGGGCCGTTTGCAGATCAGTGCAAGAACCGAGACTAGAGTCAATAGCAGCTATGTCAATCAATCTTGTTCAGTGAGGAGTTTGGAAAGCAAAGCTCGGAAGTGAAGGAGAGAAACAAGTAATTTAAAAATATGCTTGCCAGCTCCTTTCATTCTTCCCTTCCTCCACCCCTATCCTCCTCAAGCAGTTTTTAAAGATTTTCTTCGCCTGACCCCAGTCCTTCTTCCCTTGGAGGAAATACATAAACCAAAAGCTCACATATTCCAAACTCGTTTTCCGTAATGCTTAGCAGGGTCCTTTGGCGAAGCGCGCAGAAGCAATAATCTCTGCAGGGGTCAGCATCCGGCTGCCTCCCCAGACTGAGCTCTTTACGAGGCAGGCAGGGAGTCGTTTTGCTTCGCGGTAGCGGTGCTCGGAGTAATTTTTATCGCCGTTCATGAGGATATGTGGAGAAAGGGAAGGATTCCCATCACCTGTGACCACCACACTGACTGGTCGAAGAGCCCTTAACCAGCATAACCTCGCTGCTGAACTGACGTTCCAAGGCTTGGCAATTAACAGAGACATTTGCAGCAGGAGTTACTGGTGTTATTAGTATTCAAGCCTAACTCTCAAACCCGGCTCGGGAATTGAGAGTGCAATAGTATTCAACTGCATCTTAAAACATCGATAAAATGTTAGTCATTTGTGGATGAATGAAAACATTTTCTTTACCGTCTGGTACGCTAGGAAAATAATCGTCGACTGACAGACTCCTGGTAATATTGATGCCAAATACCTAGATAACATTCTCATCTTGTTAACTGTTTTTCTTTCTCTCATGATACATTGATGGATAAAGCTTTAAATTATCTAGGGCAAACCTGGGATTTAAAAAAATCGACGTCATATACATGGACAAAACTATGCTGCATTATTTAGAATTTTCTCTAGAAATGATCTAGATCCATTTAAGGAGAAGCAGAAGGCACAGCTTCCGGCACTGTAACTCAGTTTAATGCTATTTTATGCAGGGATAGGGTGCCAACATTTTCTAGTAAAACCGTGAAAAGCATCCTTTTGTAACTGCTGTTTTCCTGAGATCTGACATCTTCAGAGAGGAGGAAAGAGGGGAGGTAGAACGTCTGTGACCAGGGATGGAGCTATGCAGCAGTTTTAATATGTACAACAACCCTTCAGGCTGGTAAAAGGAAACTGGAACCACATCTATTTAAGGGCAAAGAGTTTATTTATTTCTAGTTTCTATCTCAACTTCCATTCACCAATCACAGAATTTAACTCTCACAAAACCCATCCAAAGGGAAGCAATAACTAAAGCTAGTTTATAGATGTGTGGACTATTGGAGAGGTTATTTACATATGCATTGGGCAGCCCCTACAACTACCATACTTTTGCTGTTCTTTTGACTAGGGAGAAAAATGATTTTAAAAACTTTTATGATTTCCTTTCCCTTCAACCTTTCTAAGGACATATATTTGAGAGGATTTTACAGGGTTTCCAGTTTTGCTTTTGAGATCCTAGATTTCTTCCTAGCAGAGACTTAAATCCTGGTAATCTTGGCTCCTTCTGAAGGAAAACCAGAATAAAAACAAACAAACAGAAATGAAAGAAAAAGATTCATCCCAACTCATGTAGCACATAGTTCCTTAGTAGGATTTGTGTTTAAGTATCAAAAATAGTTTACAACATTGTTTGAACTTTTTAGTGGGTGTAGTAGGATATATACTACCTTGGTCATAATTCTTAGAACTGACATTGCAATGAATTACTACTTCCTTTTGGATCATGTACTTCATTTTGTTTTCAAAGCTTAACTTATAATATTTGAAGAAATATGATAACCAGTATGGAGTTAGTTTGGAAGGGGGAAGACAGAGCTTGATTGTGGTAATTGATTATGATGTTATGTAGATTGGTTTATACCCTTGTTTTTCATGCCCTATCACTCCAGGGTTATAGGAAAGATAGTTAAAAGGAAGCTTCTTCAATTTCCTTAGTTTGATAAGCTTAATTTTTCTTTGACAGTGTTAACAAGACTATTATTAGGGAAAATTTAGAATATAAATTCACATTTGTCTTTCGATACTGAATGGATAAACTCAGATATATTTTTCATGCTATTACTGTCTAGGCATGAGAAATTTTAGGCAAAACAAGTCCCAGGATCCAATGGGAAGAGCTAATGAGATAATGTAACTCCTGAATCAGTCAGTGAGCTCTTATACACAGGACATATGAATAATAATAGCTCCTTAACTTGGGCCATAATTGATTCTCTATCTCTAGCTTAAGGTTGGTACACCTTATCAAATTTAACTGACCTGTAGTTTGCAGGTCACTGTGAGACCTAAGAATTTCAGGGAATTTGTTGGCAGTGGAAAATCTTCCTTTATAAAAAGGCTTTTCAACCCAGGCACTTTAAACATTTTGGGACAGATAATTCTTTGTTGTCAGTACTTCTTTGTGTATTGGAAAATGTTTAGCAGCATCCTACACCTTTACTCACTAGATGGCAATAGCACTAGTAGATGCTAATAGTTGTGATAACCAAAATTTCACCAGATGTTGGTTAAATGTCTGTGGATTAGGGGAGAAAAGTCAAAAATCGCCTAAGGTTGAGAACCAATCTATTATAGATACATTTCTAAAAATATACCATCTTGTGCATTTCAAATAAGATAATAAAACAGATTTGTAATAAAATAAAAATTTTTATTTGAATTCTGTAACTATAAAAGTACCTCCTCATCATCATCAATAAATCTCTGCGTTTACTTGCCATGTGATTACTGACCTAGGTTAGCAAGGATGTTATGAATTTAATGGCTGATCATAAATGTCTGTCTATGATTTCTCTGTGGGAACTCTTTTATTTAAGCCAGAATTGAAGTAATAGTTCTCATTTTAAATGAAATTGTCATTTTGTGGTTGTTTGAATAAAAGTGTAAGTCGATGGTGAGCTTTTTTCGGGCAAGAACTAAGTTAAACCTTTGTATTTTTATATAGTGACAGCTACAAGGTACAAAGTCAGAAAATGGCTGTCAAATAAAAGAGAGTGAAAACAAAGTTATTTCCATGTTAAATCACTCTATGTAAAAAAAAATCATATACTCATTCATTTATCATTTTTAAAAATATCACCATATCTATTAAGTGTAGATGACATGCAAAGGAGAAAGAAGTTTTTCTATGTTTGTTTTGTTTTGTTTCAGAAGCAGGCAGGGTGCAGAGATATCTATGCTATTTTCAAAGCTGTTCAAATCATTTTCATATAATGTCCCTGCAAATTTCACATGAGCATTTAAACCAGAAAGAGAAGTCTTAAAATAAGTATGAGTGGTTGTTTCCAAGCTTTGGCAATTATGAATAAAGCTTCCTCAAACATCCATATGCAGGTTTTTGTGAGCATGTAAGTTTTCAACTCCTTTTGTTAAATACCAAGAAACCTGATGCTGGGTAATATGGTAAGAGTACATTAAGTTTTTTACAAATTGTCAAACGGTCTTCCAA